ATAAAGAGCTTAACAAAATGTGGAAACTCTCCATTCCTGTTATGGACATGGATATACCCTTCCTACCAAGTTCAGGGGAGAAAGACACTAAGTAGATGATCACATACATCTTACCTAATAATAGAGAAACATGTAAATTGACTGTACCTCCATTACGCCCATCACAGCCAATTAAAGTGACTATGCAAATCAACCCAACAAATATGGTGGTTAATTTGCATACACACCTGAGTCCTGGGAACCTCCTTGGCACCCAGGTCACTCCCACCTTACCATCAGGGAGAGGCTTTAGGCTTTGGAAGGGGCTGAGCCTGTGATCAGAGGGACAGGGGAGTCCCCTTCCCAAATCTAAAGCCTGGGGTGGAGGCTTTAGGCTTGGGAAGGGGCTGAGCCTGGGATTGGAGGGGAGGGGAGGGAAAATCAATGGAAACATATCCTCATGTGAGGATAAAAAGAAAAATAAAGGAAATGTCATATCCTATGAAAGACACATCTTAGAAATGCTTAAAGAAAGTTGTCATTTTATAAAGGTGGAGGGACTGGAATCTGTGTTGATGAAAATACCTTAGTGGATGTAGCAGTGGGGTGATGGAGCTGGCGCCTTTCCCTGGGCAGCCTGGTTGCCTCCTGCAAAGGGAGGCCAGACTGCGGCTTAGGTCTGCTCCCAATGGGGAGCAGGCCTAAGCCATCAGTAGGACATCCCCTGAGGGCTCCCAGTATGTGATAGGGGGCAGGCTGGGCTGAGGGAACCCTTCCCAGTGCATGAATTTCATGCACCGGGCCCCTAGTAAATATATAATTTCAATGCATAAAAAAACTTTGAATAAAATATGCAGGGTTCAAAGATTATACCAGGAGAAATTGATTTAGTTTAGGGGTAAGAGGTCTCTCTGCAATTGTAGGATTAGATAGAAATCAGGCTAAGGGGAATAAAGGGGTAACAGCATTCTCAGTAGAGAGAATAGCATGTCTAAAGGAAAGGGGTGGCAAAGACTGGTGGGTGACCAGGATAATTAGAGCACAGTGAAGGGTTCACTTTTAAGTACGTTTAAGGGGAAAAAAATCCTGGAATTACAAATATATGTAATTAATAAAATGAAATTGTATATTTTATAATATCATAAACTTGTAAATCCTCTTCATTATTATATGAACATTTCTGCTGTAATTGTTAAGAGGAATGAGTCAAACACTAAAGCCAAACTGTATTTCTGTTGCTTTGTGTATTTTTATGGGGTTACTTTCTGAAACAGACCAATGGGGATTATGATCTAGGTAAGTGATGGGCAAACTCATTAGTCAACAGAGCCAAATATCAACAGTACAACAATTGAAATTTCTTTTGAGAGCCAAAATTTTAAAACTTAAACTTCTAACGTCACTTTTTCAAAATAGACTTGCTTAGGGTGTGGTATTTTGTGGAAGCGCCACACTCAAGGGGCCAAAGAGCCACATGTGGCTTGCGGAGCTGCAGTTTGCCGACCACGGATCTAGGTCTGTTTATAAGAAATGCCACACACACACACACACACACACACACACACACACACACACACATCCCTTTCATAAAATTTTCAAGGATATTTAATGCTGATATAATCCTGCTATTAAATTAAACTAAATTTGAAATCATTGGAACTCAGACCACATGGAGCTTTCATTATTGCAGTGAAACTCAGTACTCAATCTTAATTGTTCTCTTCCATTTAAGTCCTATTCTATTAAAAATGGCTGAGTTATCCAAGGAAAGAATCGGTAAGAATAAAGATTAGTTATTCATCACGAAGGTGACTGGATTACACATTGATGATAGTGACCTTGTGCTTCAGAAAATTTAACATTAAGAAAAAGTCTTTTCACTTTTAAATAAGCATGTATAAACAGATAAAAAAATAAAACGAGAATTCCTGTGAAATATAAGAAGCAATCATTTAAGTGTATGTTGTTTGGCTTCTAAGGTCAAGGAAATTTTCACTACAATACTCTAGTCTCAGCAATAGATGCTAAATAGCTACTTGTGCTTCATAACAGCAGCATCTCCGTGTTTTTCAAAACTTCATAAAAACTCTGGGTAGAAATCAATCTAGGTACTGAAGATGTTACTAAAATAAACCTATGAAGGCTCGCTCATGTTTCTTAAAGTCATACTTTTTATTTATTTTATTTTTTGGTTAATTCTCACCTCAGGGTATTTTTCCATTGATCTTTTTAGAGAGAGGGGAAGAGAGAAGGAAACACAGAAAGAAACATCGATGTGAGAGAAACACATCAATTGGTTGCCTCCTACACACATCCTGACCAGGGCCAGGGCTGGGGAGGAGCCTTGACCGGATTCAAACCTGGGACCCTTTGCTCCACAGGCTGACGCTTTATCCACTGAACCAAACTGGCTAGGGCTAAAGTCATTCTTTTTCAAACTTCACTCAGTCACTAAAGCAAAAATTCATTTGTGTTTGGAACGCCTACCATGCATATTGTTCCAGGGTAGAGTGTGGAAAAATCACTAGGGAAAGTGACTTGGGTTATAGTCCTTATTCTAACACTTTTTTTTTCAACACAGCTTTGGGTAAATAATCCCTTTGCGTTTGTCATTTGCAAATATGGTTGCGAGATTCAAAAGATACAACACATATGAAAACTCCCTTGAAAATTTGGAAAATACTAAACAACTAGGTAAGGTCCTCAAGGGAACTGAGAGTCTAATAACCCACAGAAGAATGTTCTCTTTTTGAACGCTGGCTATAGGGCATCTAACATGCACTTTGGGGCTAACAATTTTTCAGTTTCTTTTAAACCAGAGAATAGAGTTAGAAAATGTCCAGCCTTCTGCTCTGGAATTAGTGGGTCAGTGTAACATGGGAGAACTTCACACATTGTTAATAATAGTCCTTGCTCTGCGCTGTCCCTCTGTCAAAAATCAGTTCGGATAAATATCTCGGAATTACCACATTACAGATTTGGGACACATTAATTAAAGTGGGAGGCAAAAGTAGATGCTATAATTTCTTTCCAGGAATAAAACTGTACAAGTGAAGTTACCTCTTGAGGTTCTTGATATGTGTAATGCATAATGCTCTTCAGGAAGGTTATAACAATTTATACTCCTAAACAATACTCCCAATCTTTCTGATTACCTGTTTGTCTCACCTTTTACTATCTTTCATAATTTAATAACTCAAAATCCACAAGACTCATCTCTCTTCTCTTCCTCACATAGAATACTCTTGTTCATATGTGCATGACAGGGAGGTAGGTGCAGGCTGAGTGTTTAAATCACCTTCAATGGTTTAACACTCCTCTTAGGATAAATACAAACTTTAATAGCTTATACACTCTGGGGAAAGTGGCCTCTTCTTCCCTCTCTAGACCCATCTCTCACTGCCAACTTCCCTTTCAAACAGGCCAGCTGCCTCTTATCTTTAGATTTCGTCCAGGCTATTACTTGTGACAGGAACACCAGATTTTGGAGGGAACTCAGTGTTCAGACAGCATTTTTGACTAGTGATAGCAAAAGTGTCCCCTTTCATACAGCTACAAATATTAATTTCAGACTGATTGCAAATATCTGTGGAAAAATAATTGGATTTGTCAGTCATTCAAAGGAGCAGGTTTTGATATGGGCACTGTTCTCTTTGAGAGGAAGAGGCTTGGGGGTATGTAACTGGGGATAGGGGAGGTTAGAGAATGTGCACGGAGGAATGTGAAGTAGACTCCTACTTCAACTCAAATAAATGAAAATGTTTTTCGACACTTTAGTTTTATGAGAGAGCTACAGAATAAGTAGATGATTTTAAAAAATTACTCAGAAAAGCAACTCATGTATGTTATTAAACCTTTCACATTTTGCATACCTAAGTGGTATGCTTTCTACAGCAGTGCCAGATTAAAAAAATCTGATTCACTGAGCATTAAGCACTGTTATTCAAATTATTTTAAAAATGTAGTCCACGTTTTTTAATGACTCCTAATAAGGAGCTATAGTTCAATTGGCATAACAAACTCTCTTTTAACCAAAGTGACATAAAATGGGTTGATTTTGTGATTTAATGTTCTGGTTAACAGTATTCTTTTAGCCCCTCCATTGTCATTGTCCTAGTTTCTCATCATCCTCTGGCCTGGCTTAATGACCCTGCCTTTGGCCTCATACTCTTGATCAATGCTCTGCACCATATAGATAAATAGGCCAATCTCATCATGCAAGTCCCCAGGTGAAAATTCTGCAATAGCTCATTACCACTGCTGTAAAGAGCCTAAGTGCTTTATCATCAAATTCCTGATCTAAGCTGGCCTACATCTCTAGGCTCATCTACTGCCCCTACCTCACATGCTTTCACCTCAGTTTTTAATGAACCACTAATTCTTAGCCATATGAAGTCCCGAGGATATACCATATTTGCATACATTTCTGGCACAACTCCATATGCCTTCCCGCAATACTGCTACACGTCTTTCACCCAAGAGCCAAATGCTCCTATTGTAAAGCATTTTCTCACTTCCTTAGAAGGCAAGGCGCTTCTTCTCCCATATACCTCCTATACTGCTTGTACCCACCCATTACAATAGCCAAAATACTTTGAGACTCTTGGAGCCTTTCTCGCCATATAATGATGTGCCATGTCTTCCCATTTTTACCTCAGGTGCTCATTTTTAAATAAAATCACAAATATATTAAAAATTACATCTTCAATGTTGAATTCTACAGCTACCTATTTACTGTACCTTATTACAGTGATGCTTAATCAGCTAATGATTATGGTCTGTCAATTCTGCGCATATTACGTTATTTCATTAAAAATCTAACTTGCTACAACATACAAACTCATTGAACATATGAACTGAAGAACAAGTCAATAAGCCGCTGTGTTTTCTTGAAGGGCTTAAACTCTAAACTTAAGATTTTTTGTGAAAACCTAGCAAGAGGATAAAAATAAATAATTTGGAATTTACCCCAAAGAATCCCCGAATAAAAGCTGTATGATAGAGCCTGAAATTTTACTTACGTGGTACAGTGTAGCCTCTGGCACAGGGGTGCCCATGATGTCTTGTCTCAGTGTATCCATCTGCAAACTAGGCAGCAATGAATAGTGGGTCGGGCTATTACTCTTATCACTCTTCTTTTTAGACTTCTTCCCTGTGTCTTTTTTGCTGTTTCTCTGAAACATGTATTCTTCTTGAGCAATTTTTTCATTGCTCATATATCGGAGTAGTGAGTTTTCTATATAAAAAGATAAATACACCTATATAAATATGCAAATATTCCAAAGTTATCATTCTTTCCTAATTGTGCTATTAGATTTCATTTCAGAAATGTAACTTGATTTAATTTATAAAATACCTATGCAGTGGAAATATATAGAAAACCTTACTTATTTGGGATCATAGGACAATAAGAAATAGCCTATCTATTATATCTACAGCTTTCATCTCTGGACCAACTAGATCAGAAGCACCTGCAGAACCTGAATCAGAAGTTCTGGGTGTGTGCCTCATACATGTTTTAACAAGTTCCCCCAGGGGAATTGTGATAAAAGCTGATGACAAATGCCAACCTAGGGCAGGCTAGGTAGCATCCTTGGAGAAGTTAAAGCCCACATTAAGAACCAATAGTCAGGAAACTTAGCTTATAAAAATCTATGCTTAAACTGACAGCCAGCATTTAGTACTTCATAAGGCTTTTTACCCCCTAAGTTGACACTATCATATGAGTTCCGAAAGAGTGACCCAGAGATGGCATATGAGAAGCATTTCTCTTTTTATGTTTTTCTTGATTACTTCTATAAAGCAAATTAGGTTAGAACTGAAGTTTAGGAAATGGAATGAGTATATAATGTAAAGAAATTTGTCAATGTCCCTGTGTCCCATTTTCAGAAAGGCCTGCTCCGTAAAACAAGCATTCAGAAGACTAATGAGGCAGGTATTCATGCTTGCTTATCCCTGTGTGGTCTGTGCATCTGCGTAGTAATGAAATAAATTCTGTGCATTGGCTAGGAATAATAGACAAATGGGTTACACATATTGTGATGAAAGCTCAGTGAGCTTAGGTAAATCATTTTTGCTTTGTTTGGATTTGTATTCTTCTTCATCTACAACTTAATGGCTCTCGATTTCAGAAAGTGGAAAAGCAACATGATCCACTGGGCCCACCATACATATACTTGTGAGTCTTTCACTTACTGGTGAGTCTTTCTGTTGTCCTCTTTACTACCCAACTCAATAGCAGGATAAGTGAACATAAGAACTTACTTTTGGTAGATACTTCAAGTGTAGCCCACCCCCAAGTAAGAAGATAACCCTGAACAGCAAACAGAAGAGAAAAAAAGCAAGACAGTTTTTTTTCCCCCATTTCTCTATAATTTTCATTAGAGTCACTGGCCGAGTTTCCATTAGCTTTTATCCACGTGCTTCACTGCTCATTTTAAGGCTGTATTAATATAAAAGTGGTGAGGTTTCATTGCGGACCAATGGGGACTGATCACAAAGTCTATTTACTGAACTTTTATGCAGTTTCACACTTCTGACCTTGTTTTCCAAATATTAACTTTCAAATAACAATGAGATATTAATTTTTACACTGTACTTATCTACTCTGAATCCCTTAGGAGGCATTCACAGAAGGTATCTACTTAATAACAGATCAAGGTTGTTAAATGTTGGTCTGAATTGGTTTGGGTGTACCACTGAGTCAATGCAAGAATGAAAAGTTTTCTACTGAAGCCATAACATCCTATTTAAAAACATTTAAATTTGCTTTTGTTCCAACAACTCAACCTACACTGAAATTCTAGAACACTTACCTCTTCTACTATCTCTCTTCATCTTATTTGGATCTTCATAGTCCCCCACCCAATTATATTCCACTGGCATAGATATAGGTCGTAGCTTGCCTAAACACAGAGAACAAAATTCACATCACATTGTTTTTCTTCCCCATGACTGCTTAAACTTACGCTGCTTTTTAGCTATCGTCTGCAAAACACACTCACTCATATGCAACATTATGGTTGGCATTTGTGTAGATGAAAAATGTGTGTGTTTTGAGCCAGAAGGTGAAACTGCCTGTGGCAATTGGCCAGGTGATAATTCAAACATAAGCTACGTTTTGTAAACAATCAAGACTAGCCTAGGTTTGCTCTCTTAGGAGCCCCAGACTTTGAGGGTGGTCCTTTACAAAGAGGATCATTATTTTAGTGATTTTACTTTATTTTTAGTAACTGGATCTCTATCTTATTCTCCAATACCCACGTGCCTATATATTGATAGTTAATCTCCAAGATAGTAGTCCCTTCTGTTTAATCTTCCCTGCCAGGACATGAACCCATGTTTCATGTTGGAACACCACAATGCTAACTTCCTGTCTTCACTGCCTCCTAACTCCTAATGCCATACATTTTGACACCACCATGTTTCAGCAGTATATATAGATTCTCTTATATCTGGGTCTGTCCCAAGCATCTCATCTTTTTGAACTGTGAATAAGTAATTCTATTTTCCAGATCCAAGTATTCAGTGTTTTGGCCTGTCCCATTTCCCTCTAAGTTTGTATTCTTATTACACAACATTTTGCTTAGTAAGCAGAACTCATGGCATAGACTTCAAGGAAAATTTTTGGTGAGACTGCAGTGCATTATTTTTGATCAACTTGAAATCCTGAAGCACAAAAGAGCCAAAAATATGTAAAAGTTTAAAAAGGATACCTAACACAATGCGTGGCTTACAATAGTTGCTTAATAAATTCTGAATGAATATAAAGCAAAAGTTCACACAGTACTGGATATTAACAATGATGATTATGACAATCATTATAATAATACTAAAACTTATATATATAATTTATCATATGTCACATACTATCTAAATGTTTTATAAATAATTGTTTAATCCTCATAATTATGAAAATATACTATCACTAACTTTGTTCTACTAAATGAAGAAACTGAGACAGGTTATGTAACTTGCCCAAGGACACAGCTGGTAAGTATGTTATACCAGGGTTCAAACTCAGGCACTCAATACCACTTCTGCCTTAATTCTTGGTGACTTCAATATTCAGCTTCTAACCCTCACACTTTCCTGAGGATTTTTCCTTTATGCATTTTTGTAGTCATATGCTTAATCTTGTTATCTTTGAAAGCTATAATCTCTTCCAGTATCCAATTTTTTTTTACTACCACCTTGTATATTTTGTGCATACCCCTACAGAACTCCAAGTCCAATGATCCTTCCTCTAATCACACTTCTTCCCACCTTCACCTCTCAGTCATCATATGTCTTCTTCACTTCCCTCCTTGCCTAGTTAAATTTTACAATTACTATATATTCTTCAGGAAATGTGCCAACCTTATGGCTTTTTATTATACATACTGAAACAGTATATTTTGCAAAGCTCTTTGAAAATCTAAGGATGAATTAGACATGATAAAATTATTAATGTGCCAAAAAAGGCAGTATTTATTTAGTGGTTTCCTTTTAAGGTATTCAAACTTTTTATTTTTTATTTTTATTTTTTAATATATTTTATTGATTTTTTTTACAGAGAGGAAGGGAAGGGATAGTTAGAAACATGAGTGAGAGAGAAACATCAATCAGCTTCCTCCTGTACACCCTCCTACTGGGGATGTGCCAGGCAACCAAGGTACATGCCCTTGACCGGAATCAAACCTGGGACCCATGATTCTGTAGAATGAAGCTCTATCCACTGAGCCAAACCAGTTAGGGTTGCAAACAACTTTTTAAATGATCACAGGACATGGCCAAAACCGGTTTGGCTCAGTGGATAGAGCGTCGGCCTGCGGACTGAAAGGTCCCAGGTTCGATTCCGGTCAAGGGCATGTACATTGGTTGCGGGCACATCCCCTTTTGGGGATGTACAGGAGGCAGCGGGTTGATGTATCTCTCTCATCGATGTTGCTAGCTCTCTATCTCTCTCCCTTCCTCTCTGTGAAAAATCAATAAAATATATTTTAAAAAAATAAATGACCACAAGACATGAACCCATTGTTTCATGTTGGAACATCACAATGCTAACTTTTTTATCTACACTGCCTCCTAACTTTAAATTGAAATTCTAAGATTCCAATTCATGGAGTAGAATTATACTTTTAAAGAGGGAATTTGGGTGAGTTGAGGTAGGTCAATATATTCTGCCCAATGCGGGACAGGGGAAGGTTTTAGGAAAGGCCTCCTTTTGTCAAATCTATTCAAATTCTTTGCAGAATCAGTTTCGGTCCTCCAGGTTTTCAATGTTGTGAATGCTGCATTTTCAAACATTTCTTTAGAATTTTTAAAAATAAATTCCATTTTAGCATTAGCACTGAAGCATTAATAGTTCTAACACTGTTTCTACATGTCATGAAGAAAATCTCTGAAAAGTAAAATATCCAATAAATAGGCTGTTGTTTTTACTTGCTCTATATGTTATATATATACTTATTAATTAATTTGGTAATTTTCGAAGAATTGATTTGTTGTTTGGAGTCAAACATATATACCCATTGGACCTCCCAAAAGTCCAAGATACACAGCCAGTTTCTATTTTCATAGTTTCCTTCTTCTTTCCAGTCAATTTTCCCTTATCCTCCTTCTTACATTTCCTTACATTCCCCTCTGTCCCTCGCTTACTTCTAAGACAGTATGTCAACCTGAACAATCCCCTACATTTTTTTAAACAAATGGAACCTTACAAAACTATTGGTAATCCAGTCAGAACTAGATGTCCTGCTTCCTTATCCAGAAACATACCCACAATGTCGCTTGAAATACTACTAAATGACTACCTTTTCAATTGTATCCCTCTTTAAAAACTCTCTCCCAAAACATGGTAAAATCATTAAGTTTCAGGGCGATAAACAGCTTCTGAGAAAAAATATTCTCTCTTACAGTTGTCCAAAGTTGAAAAAGACTGCAGAGAGATGTCTTAAATCTGAAATAACCTTTAGTACTCACAAAAAAGCTTTCTCTGCAGTCTAAGAAGAAAAAAAATACACATATACACATCTGTTCTGAATAATTTAACCAATATTTTGATGAAAATGAATGCACTAAGGAATGTTAAGCTATAAGCATGCCACATACACCCATCAAACTTCCCACATTCCAGACAGAAAAATTACTTTCAGATGGTTGACTGCATTTCTAGGAAAACATCCGAAGGTTATTTAAGGTAGAGAACCACATATTTAAAGAGGAATAAAACTGAATCAAATGGAAAGTCAGTAATTTTTTAAGGATAAAGGCAACATATCTTGAATTAATAAAGTAAGAATAGGCACTTTTGATCTTTATGGCCCTATTTTTAAAACTGCTACAACTTGTTTGTAAATTTTCCTATTGCTTTCTAAAAGTGACCTAGACTTTAAATGGGGGGTAAGATAAAAATTGTTAAAAGGGAAAATTAGAAACTGCATCAAAAAGTATATGGAACTGGAGAGCATTATGCTAAGTGAAATAAGCCAGTCAGAGAAAGACAAGTACCATATGATTTCACTCATATATGAAATCTAATGAACAAAAATAACAAACAAAATAGTACAGACTCATAGGAAGCAGGCTGACATCTGTAAGAGGAGAGTGGATTGCAAGGCTGGGTGAAAAAGGTGAAGGGATTAAGCAAAAAAAAAAAAAAAAAAAAAAAAAACCCTCATAGACACAGATAGCAGCAGAGAGAAAGGGAGGAAGGTAAAGAGGGAATACATGGTGATATAAGGAGACTTGATTTTGGGTGGTGAGCACAAAATGCACTATAGAGATGATATTATATATTATAGAATTGCACACTTGAAAGCTATATAATTTTATTAAGCAACATCACCTGAATAAATAAATTAAAAATAAATAAATAACAAACGGAACTTTTAATATTTAATGCCATGGATAATTGTATTTTGAACCAAAACATCATTTGTAAACATTCTACCAAGAGAACAAATCTGCGATACACGCTGTAGTTCAGAAAGATAGATTTTTCTCAGTTAAAATGTTGTCACTATGCATAGAGATTATTCTACATTAGAGGGATGTGGGAGGACTGAGAAGGATTCATATGATTTAAATACTGTCTAAGTGGCAAAAGAGTTCTAGTTATAAAATGAGCTATGCTAACGTACTTTTGCCCCTTGCTGTGCTCAGCAATAAATGTGGACAAGAAAGATGACATGGGCATTATTTGGTTAAAAACATCCTGTTTTTAAGTCAAATAATTAGAAATTAAAGGAATTTGTTTTTTAAAAACCTTAGTAAATCATATTGTAATAGCTATGTACAGGCCGGGGGGGGGGTACTTAAAATATTAGTGGGAACACTCTGTAAAGTATGATTGTCTAACCACTATGTTGTGCACCTGAAACTAACACAGAATAATGTGAACAATAATGGAAAAATATGGAAAATTGTATGTTATATGTTTTTCGTCATTATAAAAAAATCCTTAGTAAATCAGTGTCTTGAAAATCTTATCAACATATGGATGCCAGTCACCATTTCTCATGAAAAGAAAAAGATAAGGATTAAGACCATCAACTGGAAGACTCTCAAATGAAACAAACAAAATGACATGTTGTAATAACTTTAAAATTTCTTTCACACATTTTTGTCTTTGGAATCATGTTAGTTAGTAAAGTTAGCAAGAAAGGTTGAGATGAAACACTCATGACACACTGAAGTTAATTTCTCAGGATTTCCCTGATAATCAGTGTTGGAGTCAGCCCATGAATAGAGACTTTCAACTTCCTATCCCAGGGCTCTTTTTACTACACTAATTTGATTTGGTGATGAATTTAAGACCATTGCATTTACAGAAAAATCCAATTCATCTTTATTAAAAAATCATTTGATGACATGGATTATTACTGCTTTTGTTTAAGGGTCTTCCCAGTTTGCAAATCTTGAA